ACACACACACGCACGCACACGCACACACACACACACACACACACACAAACTCTTATTTCCTTTACACATATTTCTCACAAGTGTCACAGTTTTGCAGGTAATTATTGGAAAATGAAACCACCTGACCTCAAAACGTGATAGTGCTTTTTTTTTCTGGTCTAGGAGCAGTGTCTTTCTGAACGCGTACCAATGAAGCCCACACACGCATGCACCACATGCCGCCCGCTTCGCCTTTAAAAACATATTGATTTCTCTCTTTCACAGGGAGCTTAAGGCCATCGATCGCAGGGGGCCCTTTCAAGATCAGTATAAGCATCTCTTCCCCTAACACGCACGCTGCCTCCTTCCCTCAGGTAATGATTGTCCTTGGGCTGGGCAGGAGGGTGGGGGAATAGTTTGTCTGCATTTAGAAGGAGAAGTGTTTCTCTTGGCATCCGATCCATCTCCCTCCTCTCTGCTCAGCAGCAGTGCAGTAAAAATGAGGAACATATTTGCTTCTCTAACAGAAATGGTTGCAAATGCAGAGCACAGCTCCCTTGACCTTTATGAACCCCAACACCTCCGTTCCCCACCTGTTAGTGGGTCAATATCTTGGTGAATTTGCATTATGTCCAAGCCTTCATCCCAAATTTAAAACACTGGCTTTTCTCTATTACAGGAATAGTGAAAGCTAACCCAAAAAAAGAGCCCCTTTCTTTTTGCATTTTTGTTATTTACTCTTAAAGAAACAGTTAGCCCCCCAAAAATGGCTTTAATTCCATCCATGTTACAGTTATTGAACTACAATTTAATGTGGTCGTAGCTGAGACTGACTTTCAACACATAATATGAGCACACACAGATTGTGCAAGATCTTTGTTTAAAAGTTTACCAGTAACTAATCAACTCTGTTTGTCTGGAACAACTAGACACGTTTTATTGAAACTGCGAGGAAACAATCATTAGCTAAACCTCTAAAACTGATTATGTTTTGGAACCAATTCAAATGGTGGTCACCACAGCTGAGAGACCATTGTGAGATCATACAAAACGCTATTCTCAAGGTTTTTTGTTCCAGGAATGTTAGGTCTTTAACATATTGGTCCTCAAAGCACATTTTCTTTCAGTTCCTGCCAAGTATCTCTCTTAATCTCCTACCTCTTTCTCAAATATAGTCACTTTTTGGCTCTAATATACTTTCCAAATCCAGAAATTAAGTCATCAAAAAGGCCCTTCTTCCTTCAGTGCTGCTGACAACAAAACAACACTTCTTATTTATAGTCTTTATGTCGGTATGCCTCCTCATATTTATGTCACCAACTCCTGGTGAGACACACGCCAAGCATTCAGTCACCTATAGATTTAAGATGCAAATTAATCTGGATGGGATTAAATGTGAGAATATTCAGGTCTTTTTCTCTGTATTGTGTCAATTATTTATACCTGATAGAGGAATCTGATCTTTAGCTTTACTTTTGGGCTTCAAAGAAGAAAATACTGACTTACCATCACAGACAATTTTGTGTCTGTGCTGTTTCAGCTGATGGTGAGTTGCTTTTTTTAATCTGAAAATAGCAGGATGCTGTGGCCAAACACCCCATCAATAAAAGTAGTGGAAAGAGAGTGAAATGGCAGCACTCCCGTTTACTAAATCAATGCACAAAGTTGAATAAACAGAGCTTCCTGTAGGTGAGGGAAACTAACCTTGATGTGACACCTTTCACTTCAGTCATTTATTGAGTATTTTTTAAAAGTAGAACATGCTGATCAACAAGTTTTTATTTTCAGCCTAACATATACCAATGTTAACATTTACAACTCACTGTGATGACTATAAAACTAGAAAGCTTTACAACAAAGTTCATGTGCAATCATCCAGGTACCAAATCCAACAATTCTCAGTCAGGTCATCTGGACAGTTTCTTTTTTATAGAGACGTTTCATCCTCTATCCAGAGGGCTTCATCAGTCAGAGGAGTTCCAGTAAACTGTTTCCCCACCAAAGCTTAACCTTTTCCAGAAATATGAACATAATTTTTCTAGCGCTACATAAAAAGTTGGACTTGGAAGCCGTAGGTATAGGTAGGTTGGTATGTAGGTAGGTAGGTAGGTAGGTACGTATGTACGTAGGTAGGTAGGTATGGACACAGGTAGGTAGGTAGGTAGGTAGGTAGGTAGGTAGGTAGGTAGGTAGGTAGGTAGGTAGGTAGGTAAGTAGGTAGGTAGGT